ACTTCTGTTGTATACTGAAGACATGATGTTGTTGAGGAAACGTGTTATTGTTTGAATAGCAAGGCGAATTGGCTGGGTTTTGGCTGTACATAATTTTTTTTTTCCCTCAAAAAAATGACTAACAGCCAGATTAAGGCTATTTAAACTTGAAGGTATTTTCCCAAAAACCAAGTGAAGGACAACAACTATTAAGTGTTTATTGGCAATAATCAAATTCAGGGTTTTAAGCAGAAATTTTAAAATTTGGAAAACCTGCATCTGCCATTGTGACAGTATTTGCAGTTTTCTGATGAAGTTTGTGCTGTTTTAGTGAATTGATTTTTGACAGTGTATCATGAAATACGTCAGTATTTGGACAATCTAGCCAAAGTTTCCCAGATAACTAGTGCATGATGTTAACAAGATCTTGAATGGGTAAAAGATCCATCCAAAGTACATGATAGTGTTTTTTTAATTTTTAATTTTTTTTTTATGTTTTAGTTGTCGCTGGACCTTTATTTTATTTATTTATATGTGGTGCTGAGAATCAACCCCAGTGCCTCACAATGCTAAGCAAGTGCTCTTTTACTGAGCTACAACCCCAGCTCAGACTAGTGGGTTTTGATGTAACTGATAGGGTTTCAGATTGCACATTGCAACTAAACTTTGAAAAACTTCCACTTGTCCAGTTTTGATGTTTATCAAAAAAGATTATCTATGTTTTCTGGGAAAGCTATTATAAGAGTGCAGTAACACATGCCTGTAATCCTAGCAACTTGGGAGGAGGCTGAAGCAGGAAGATCACAAATTCAAGGTCAGCCTAAGAAACCTAGCAAGATTATATCTCAGTTCCTCAGAAAACTTGAAATGGATCCACCATTTGACCCAGCTGTCCCACTCCTTGGTTTATACCCAAAGGACCAAAAATCAGCATACCATAATGATGCAGCCACACCAATATTTATAGCAGCTCAATTCACAATAGCTAAACTATGGAACCAATCTATGTGTCCTTCAGTAGATGAATGGATAAAGAAAATATGATATATATTCAGTAGAATATTACTCAGCTTTAAAGAAGAAAGAAATTATTGCATTTGCCAGTAAATGGATGGAGTTGGAGAATATCATGCTAGGCGAAATAAGCCAATTCTCCCACTAAAAAAACAAAGGCCGAATGTTTGTTTCCTCTAATGTGTGGATGCTTAATTCACAATGTGTGTGGGGGGTRCTAGAGAAGAATAGAGTTCCTTAGATTAGGTAGAGGGAAGTGAAAGGAGGGGAGAGGATGGGGGATATGGGGATATGAAGGAAAGTAGAATATAACAGACATTATACTCTATGTATATATGTGACTGCATGACTAATTTGATTCTACAACTTGTATGCTCTGAAAAATGAGAAATTATATCCCATCTATGTATGATATATCAAAGTGCATGAATGCATTCTACTGTCATATATAACTTAATTAAGACCTATCTCAAAATAATATTTAAAAAAGGACTGGGGGGAAAGGGTTGGGAATGTGGCTCAGTAGTAGAAAACTTGCAGAATGTGACTGAGGCCTTGAGCTTCTCCCCAGCACAAATAAATAAATAAATAAATAAATAAATAAAGCAAGCTACCAAAAGCTATTTTAGTACTATTCCCTTTTAAAATCATGTTATCATGTTATCTATATCAGGCCCAGATTTTTTTCACATACCAACTAACACAACATGTAACAGATTCATGGCAAAAGTAGATATTAGTATCTTCCATTAACTAGATATTAAAGGAATTTGTAGGGCTGTGGTTGGGGCTCAGTGGTAGGTAGAGCACTTGCTTAGCATTTGTGAGGCACTACTATGTTTGATCTTCAGCACCACATAAAAATAAATAAATAAGGGCTGGGTTTGTGGCTCAGTGGTGGAGCGCTTGCCTAGTGTATGCRAAGTCCAGGGTTCAATCCTAAGCACCACATACAAATAAGTAAAATAAAGGTATTGCATCCATCTTTTAACTAAAAAAAAAAAATTGTTTTGATACTAGAGATTGAACCTGGGGGCGCTTACTATGAAGCCATATCCCCAGCCCTTTTTAATATTTTTTATTAGAGACAGGGTCTCTCTGAGTTGCTTAGGACTTTGCTATGTTGCTGAGACTGGGTTTGATCTCTCAGTCCTCCGGCCTCAGCCTCCCAAGTCACAGGAATCATAGGCATGAAAATTAAAAAAACAAAAAGGGGGGTATTTGTAAAAAAAAAAAAAAGGTAAAAATAATATCATTCTTCTCATTAACTATCTTTTGTTTGCTTTGTAAAATGTAATTGTTTTTCTTAAAATGTTTTTATGTTAGCATGTAAGGGACTTATTATTTGGAAAATGAGTTACTAAGTATTTTTAAAATAGTATTTAATTTCTATTATGATATTATATTTCTATGGATAAAATCAGAAGAAGCCTGGTGTGGTGGTGCATTTCTGTAATCCCAGCTGCTAGGGAGTTACAGGCAGGAAGATTATAAATTTGAGGACAGCCTGGCAATTTAGCAAGACCCTGTCTCAAAATACARTATATGTTAAGGGCTGAGAATGTAACTTGGAAGTAGAGTGCTTGCCCAGCATGCACAAGGCTCTGGGATCAATCACCAGTACTGCAAACAAACATACCAAAACAAAAACAAAAACAGTGGAGTGCTGAAGCAGGCTTGTAATGTCTTGCACAGGCCAGTTGTGTACATCTTTTTCCAATTTTGTGTCCAGTGATTTCATTGGTAGATTCAAATACTCCATAGTATGAGTGTTTATATCATAGAAATAAGCAAAAGCTACAAAGCAGGGTTCTCCCTTCACAAGATCTGGTTATTAATTGTGTGTGTGTGTGTGTATGTGTGTGTTTGTGTGTGTGAGTGTGTGTGTTAGGGATCAGACTCAGGGCCTCACACATACCAGGCAAGTACTTTACAACCGAGCTACATCCCTAGCCCATTTTAATTTTATTTTGAGACAGGGTCTTACTAAGTTGTCGAAGCTGGCATCAAATTTGGTGATCTTCCTGCCGCAGCCTCCTGAGTAACTGGGATCACACGTGTGCTACCCCTTGCTCAGCTGTGGTTATTAAATGTTTACCAACACTTAACCTGGATATAAGTCATATAAATAAAAGTTCCTAGCAAATTTTAAGTGTAAAAGTCATCTGATACTAAAAAGTTTGAGAACTAGTTGTTTGGAGAAAAYGGAGACCTTTGGTAATTAGTCAACACAGAGATATGGGTACTTTTTTATAATTCATGCAAAGTTGCCTTTTGTGCCGAGAACACTTGTAAAATATATCCATTTTTTTCTTTTTAATTTGTAATTGTTAAATCTGCTGGTTCAATATGGGATTTTTTTTCCTCCCCCTTAAAGTCTAAGATAGACAATGAGAGGGCAAAGCAAGCTGAGACTGGCTCTTGGCCTGCATATTAATCTCCGCTGCCCCCTCATTTTTTGCTTTATGTCCAACTGTTACCTAGGCTCAGATCAAGGTCTGGCTCAAGCTCTGACTTGCACACAAAGCCTTCACTTACTGTTCACGTCCACACTGATCTTTCAATTCTGTATTCTGAAAACATTCATGGTCCATAAAGAGGARCAATTTGTTCTATGCTTTTTGGTGTGCTACTGTTTCTTAGGTCTTTTATCAATTCTGTGCTCTACCTTAGTGAGACTAGTATAATGCTCAACGCATATTTGTATTGTATGGATAAAAGATTTAACTTTCACACTGCCAGAGAAATTTGCTTTCTAGGTGAATGACATAAATAAATCTTACTGTTGTAAACCCAATTTTTAATGTCTTTTGAAGTACTAGTAAAGCAGATTGTATTTGTATTCTTTAAAGGTGACATCACACACAGAGGCTTCCTTCAATAACTAATATCTTTTGGTTCTGCTCCCACTCGTGGTAGAAACAAGTGGCTTTCTAGGCATGGTGGCATATAACTATAATCCTGGCAGCTCAGGAGGCTGAGGTAGGAGGATCATAAGTTCAAAGGCAGCCTCAGCAACTTAGGGAGACCCTGTCTCAAAATAAAATACAAAAAGGGCTGGAGATGTGACTAAGTGGATTCAATCCCCAGTACAAAAAAACAGAAAGATACAAGTGGCTTATTTTATTTCCAAGGTCTTTGACTGTTTTGAGTAAGTCATAGTAAATAGTAAATCTTGGAGAAATGAAGCAAAATTTCTAAAAGAAAACTGGCCTATAGGACAGAATTGTTTACTACTTAGAAAACTTAGCAGGTTTCAAGTTCAAGGGAGTAGAGGTATTTTGTCTTGCTGGTAGGGATCTCTGTTGAAAACAAGAGTAACTTAATGACTACATGCTCTTCTCTGCTTAAAGCTAAGTGAAGTTTTGGTCCTCTCTTTGGATGCTCCGTCTCTGGGGAGAGGAGGAGTGCCAAGAGGCCATGCCAGCTCTGAGGCTTTCTCTCCATCAGAGATACTAGGGCTTGAAAGGACCTGAAATTTCTTTGGTCTGGACCTTTTTTATGTGATTATAGGGGCATAAAAATTACTGTGACTTATTATTAAAATAGAGACAGGGTATCAGCTTACATCTAAAATAGTATTAGAATTATTATAGATCTTATACATATGTGTGTAAAAATTCACCATATTGACATTTTATCTTCGATTTCTCTTAAGTTGGGGTACTTTATACTTTAGCCTCAAAAAGATGTCACTGTTAGTAGTCATGAGGTCGTAGTGAGGTAGTTTAACTGCTTTAGAACCTTGTGCTTGGAACATTCTTATCCATCGAAGCATGGGCACCAAAAGTGAGGAGCATGGGTTCTTTAATATCTGTCACATCAGAGAATGACAGTTCCAGGACAGTGACCAACTCCTAATGGTAAGTACCCCAGCTGATTTGTCATTTCTTAGAAGCAGGAGAAAGAAAAGAGAAGTTAGTCATAGTAGTGAGTGGTGTTTCTTAAAAATAGACAATAACAAATTAAGGTTCAGCTTTAATCCTCAATGATGATCATTTTTGCAGGTTTCTGTAGCTGGATCAGGCACTGGAAGAGGCTCCCCAGCTGTAACCCTAGTGCAATTACCTTCGGGCCAAACTGTACATGTCCAGGGAGTAATTCAGACACCACAACCATCGGTTATTCATTCACCACAAATACAGACTGTTCAGGTTAGCTTCCTTCCTAGATGATTTGTCATTAATTTCTCATTGACTTTCTTGAGACTTTGTTTTTCTTTTACTACTAATTCATTTATCATCATTTTTCTCTCTGTAGATTTTATACTCAAATTTTTTAATTAGAAGTTTGAAGGGATTTCCTTTTTTACATATGCTGTGCCGTGTACCCTGCTAAGTGCATAGATTTGACTTAAAAGTTGAAGTTTTTGTTGTCTGCTTTTAATTTGCAGAATTAGTAATTGCTAGATAAGCAGTTCATGTCTTTTTCAAGTTGTTTTGTGCTCATATTCAGATTTATTTAATAAAGCTCTCTAGTAGTACTTTAAAGTATCTTGAGTGTTCTTTGGGAAAGATGTCTGATCATGTAATATATAGATTTTAGTACTGATACTGTGTTTGTGTAYATTCACATTGGTAGGTGGGTAGAAATTTAATTTTTTAAATCAGTGTATGTAATCCTTAGAAAGTGATAATGATGTTATTTATTTTGGTGCTGGGGATTGAACCCAGGGCCTAATGCATGCTAATCACACATTCTACCACTGAGCTGCACCCCAGCCTGAAAGTGACATGGTATTACTGTCACTTGAGTATTATGTTTATATGTCATGTACCTCACTCATATTAAACCTTGGCTTTTGTACATGTTAATGTGGTTGTGACCCAGAGATGTATGGTACTATTTATCAAAATTTGTTACAAATCCTTAACATTTCTTGAAGGTAAAACATTTTTATCTGTAGATGTGAATTATTAATTATGCATTTTAGAAGCATACTTTTCTTATTTACTAAACTTATATCTTTTCTTAAGTCAGTTTGTTATTATCCTTTAAATTTCAAATTATTTGAACCCAATTGATGGAAAAAAAAATCTGTGAGGAAAATTGAGATACATCTACTTAGTCTTGTCCTTTACCTGAGCATTTGAGTAGGGTCTATCACAGAATAAGAATGAGGCTTATAGCATGACATTTGATGTGATAAATTCACATGATTTAAAAGCTTGGTTATCTTTTCAGTATAGGTATCATTTCTTTATTATTATTGTTATTATTTTTGGTATTAGGAATTGAACTCAAGGGCACTCGGCCACTGAGCCTCATCCTGAGCCCTATGTTTTGTATTTTATTTAGAGACAGGATCTCACTGAGCGACTAAGCACCTTGCTGTTGCTGAGCCTGGCTTTTAACTCATGATTTCTCCTGTCTCAGCCTCCCRAGTCACTGGGATTTCAGGAATGCGCCACTGCACCTGGCTCTTTTTAAATTTAATTTTATTTTTTTAGTTGTAGACGAACACAATACATTTATTTATTTATTTATTTATTTATTTATTTATTTATTTATTTAATGTGGGGCTGAGGATTAAACATAATAGGCAAGCACTCTACCATTGAGCCACAACCTCAGCCCTAGGAATCATTACTAGTTGTTCAAAAGTATAATTCTCATCATTGTCTTTTATTTTCTGAGCTGACTCTTGATTCCAAAATTTCTAATTCTTTCTGACTCTAATAATAAAAGAAGAAAGTCATTCCACACTCTTCTTTGTATTATGACTTTTATTTGGCTGCAGATATTTTAACTTAGTTTTAACTTGATTGGTATTAGAAGAAAATATTGTCTTATAAATAGGCTTTTTAAATCTTTGTTGAATTAATGGTTTTAATTGTCTTTGTAGAAATAAGTGCTGGTGGATCTTAGAATTCTATATATTGGACATTGGGAAAGACAATTTCCCTGCATGAACTTTCTAAAATGGGTAAAATACTAGCCTGCTTCACAGAAGGGAGTTGCTATGGCATTGGTTATATGACAGAAGTATTAAAGCCCAGTATAAAATGGTAAATTTTAGTAGTGATATTATGATTGTCTAGTGCAACAACATTTTTTTTTTTCAATAAGCTCCCCTTATTTGTGGGGTGTCCATTACCAAAGGTTGTGTGGTCATATGTGCTTTAGCAGTGATACATTCTTGCATGCATTCTGGATATTTTAGTAACCTCTTAATTTTTCCCAAATCAAATTCTCAGGTAATTGTAGTATTAAGTAAAGTGAGTTTTGTAAACTCAGCTCCTCGAGTCCTTCACAGTTAAATGGCTAAATATATTGACAGCAGACATGTTGTAGCAATCCATTAGTTTTCCGACTTTACCAATCCAAATATTGTATTCTTACATGACTTGACAAATGAAATCATGCTGAAAATTCTGATCCTTCTTTTTAAGGAGAAATCTCTTATTTGTATTTTTAAGACTTAATTCCATTAAACCCTACCCTACTCCTTGTAATATAAATCCTAACTTTATTCTGGTTTATACTTTTGTTTATTTAAATGTTTTTTCTCCTTTGGCCCTATTTAATACCTATTTTGAAAAYCCAGCTCAAGCCAGCTATGGTATAGTGAAAAAAAGAAAAAAGTGAAATTGAGGGCTTTCTTCCTGCCTCTATCACTGGCTTACTCACTCCTTGCTGGAATTATAAGGGCACTTTCAGGGTTAGGATCTTGACTCTGATGTATCATGTTTTGCTCTTCCCAGTGAAGTCTCACTTGACATTTGAACCACTCTTTCTGTTGCATTTTCATAATATTTATTATCTATACCATTTCTTTCCATACTTTTTTTTTTCAATAACTTTAATGTTTATGTTTGTTTTTCCTTTCTTGAACCAGATCATGAGCTTTTTAAATTCAGGTTCACTGTGTTTTGGGGCTTCACAGCACCTGGCTCAGTGTTGTACACAAAGACCCTTACTACCATTTTATTTTTTTAACAAGGAAGATTTTATATTTTGTGATGTATTTCAGAAAATCTTATGTTATAGGTAGCAACAATTGCAGAGACAGATGAGTCTGCAGAAACAGAAGGTGTAATTGATTCTCATAAACGTAGAGAAATCCTTTCACGAAGACCCTCTTATAGGTGAGTTAACTGTTAACTACTAGAATGATACTTTGTCCAAGAAGGTAGAAAAATTACATTTTTATTCTAATTTAGTTAGTTATTTTTTTGGTCCAGGGATTGAACCCAGTGGCACTCAACCACTAAGCTACATCCCCATCCATTTTTTTTGTATTTTATTTAAAGACAGGGTCTCACTGAGTTGCTTAGGTGCCCTCACTAAGTTCCTGAGGCTAGCTTTGAACTCCTGATTCTCTTGCCTCAACCTCAGCTGGGATTACAGGCATGTGCTACTGTGAATAAAAATTACAGATCAAAGTGATTCTTTTAAGTCTCATTCATGCATCTTAATCAGTTATGTTGTTAAATTGTATTTTAGAAAAATACTGAATGAACTTTCCTCTGATGTGCCTGGTGTTCCCAAAATTGAAGAAGAAAAATCAGAGGAAGAAGGAACGCCACCTAACATCGCTACCATGGCAGTACCGACTAGCATATATCAGACTAGCACGGGGCAATACAGTATGTATGCTGCGATTAAATATGATACAGTGCTAGCTTTAAGTCTTCTCTAGTTATAATGAAGCAATTCTGGTTTTGGTATTAAATTGTTTCATTTTAAAATGCATCATTAATACCTAAACTGTATATCTTAGAATAAAAAGTACATGTTAAAGAAGTGAGAGATTTGTATTGATAGCTGTCATATACTTTTGAAAAGTAAAAATTTTATTGCTGAATATAGAAAAATTGGGGTTAAAAATAAAAGGAGAGTTTTTTTTCCTATTTATGTTTTATTCACCTTAATAGTTTGAAAGTTATTACTTTTTTTTGGTCTTTATAATGAATGCAAATGTAAGATATAAATGTTTGTATTTTATTCTTTTGTTGGCTTTTGTTACCAACATATACTTACTAATCTAAAAGAGGTCCCTGTGTTTTCTAAATTATGTTTTAATGTAATTCTGTTTTCACTACTCTCTACTGTTAATTTGTGTTTCAGTTTTTCCTAAAAGAGAAAAAAATTATTTAATTTTAAAACTATAGCAAATGGATAGTTTATTTTATTTGAGATTTTACACACCAAAAGCTCTAAATAAACAGATACATTCACATTTAGTCTTGTGCATTTTAATGGATTGTTAATTCTATGATTTTTGCTCTCATTAAAATACTAGGTTTTCTTTCCCCTCAAAAGAAGAATGATAGATACAGAAAAATAATTTTTAAAAAGAGAGGGCAAAGAAAAAGAAAGGGGAAAGGATGGGACCGGGGTGTGGGGTAAGCAACGTCAGTATTGAAAACAATGTGATATTAAATCGTGTTTGTTCAAATAAGGTGTTAAGATTGTAGATATATTCTCTGTTTTCCCCTTTAAAAGTAACAATCTCTAGAAAAATTTTAACTCTATTAAAAKAAATTATCTTCTTTCATATATAGTTGTTGATTTTTAAATTTTTTTTAGAACTTTTTTTTGTGATGGATTTGCAGTATAAAATTGTTAAACTAATTTTCCTTTGGTCATTTTGGGCAGCTTCTATCATATACCTGTCAGTATTAGGGTGTCATTTATCCATGGCCTCTATAGAATGCTGAGTGGACATGTCCAAAATGTCCAAAATCAGTGTTTTAAGAGAAGAAAACCCCCCACTGCCTGCAAGAATTAGACTTTGAGGTTTTCACTATTGTTTCTCTTTTATTACTTCTCACTTATGTGCTTTTCTCATCTGGCCCACTGGGTATATGTGGTGGTAGTTTTAGCTCTGTACATCAGAGTTGCCACCTGGTATGTCTCTGGAATTTGGCACCAGGTTTCAAAGTGCATAACTTCTATCCCTCATTTCCCAGAGGGGTGAAGCAGACCTGGGACCTGCTGGAGTAGTATCCTCACTGGGTAGCCGTGGCCTTGAGCAGCTTTATCCATTTACCCTGGAGGGCTGTACACATGTTAACATTTTTTGTTTGTGTCATGAAAAGAAAAAGATTGGAATTACTGCAGAAATAATGTTAAGACTTTTTAAAGTTTTGGGGATGATCGGAGAGGCTTTTATTTTGACATTTCTTTGGCATATCTTAATACTGCTTAGTAATTCTCAAAGAAGCAGTGATCTGTTTATAAGGTAACAGGGGAGTGAGTGTTAGAGGTTAATTTGAAATAGTGAAAACATATGGAATTGAGACAGTGCTAAAGCTGGAGATGATGTAGGAAGGCACCCTCTTTCTGCTATTTGATATCACAGTGATCAGAGCTAAAAATATTATTTTTGCATCTCAAGTTTTAGTCTGAAGTGAGAGTAATGTATATTGCTAAATTCTGGGGTCAATGTGAAGACAGAAGGTGATAAAAGGTAAATGTAGTGGGGAAAAGACATGCAACTATTGAAATATAGGTTTGCTGTGGCAGAGTCTCGTTTATGTTATGTTATGTTATGGTATGTTATGGTATGTTATGTTATATTAGGCTTTTCCCTCCAGCCAGTTCCTATACTTTGTTCCTTGTGCTTTTGGTGCTACCTTATAGCAGGGGACTCAGCATTAAAACTCACTGTGTATATACAATAGGGGGAGGTGTAGTCAGGAGCTATGGTTGAGAACTAGAAAACTGCATGTTTAGAAATTAGACATGTATCTGTTTGCCATGTAAGAGGTCGTGGAGTCTGTCAGCTGTTTTAATTTGAACCTATACAATATGATCCTGATGATTATTTCAGTGAGAAATAGTGGTGGTTCTTTATATCTGGTCTGTAGATAAAATTACCACACAAAGCAACATCACCTTTGTTTAATACACTTTTGGGGACATTTAGTGACACTTGTTTATGTATATAACACATTTGAGAAGTAAATACATTTTATACTTTTAAAAATCATTTGTGGACTTTAGAGAATAATATATATTTATATGCACACAAGATCCATTTTAATTAATCTTATTTCTTACTAGAAAAAACAGATATTAATGCCTTAATATTATATCTAAAGATCTAGAAATAGAAACAGTTACTAACATCCTTGGGATTTTGGAATAGAGGACTTTATTTTACTAGAATTTCTGAAAATTTTTCTGTGTGTGTTTTAGAGACTCTTTCATAACCTTTTATTATTTATTTGTTTTCTGGTACCAGGGATTGAACCCAGAAGCACTTAACTTCTGAGTCACGTCCCCAGCCCCCTTTTTTAAAAATATATTTTTAGTTGTTATTGGACCTTTATTTATTTTTTATTTATATGTGGTGCTGAGAATCAAACCAGGTTCCTCATACATGCTAGGCAAGCACTCTACCACTGAGCCACAACCCTTGCCTCCCCAACCCCCCAGGCCTTTTTTGTATTTTATTTATATACAGGGTCTCAGTTGCTTAGGGCTTTGTTAAGTTGCCCAGGCTGGCTTTGAATTCATAATCCTCCTACCTTAGCCTCCCGAGCCATTGGGATTGAAGCCATGTGCCACTGCTCCCAGCTCATAACCTTTTATTATAAAAGTTTTCCTTTCCGATTAGGTTTAATTCTTTGTTCAACATTCATCCATGCATGACTTTCCCCCAAACTTTGTTCTTGTTCTTTAAGATGATTATTTTATTATTTTTAACTTTGTATAATGAGTTGACTGGTATTAAAAAACAAAAAAAAATTAAATGTGTTTAAGTTGAAGAAATAAAAATAAAAATATATGTAATCAAGTTTTCCCATATAAAAGTAATTACATTTTTAATAGTTGAAAGATATTGACAGAAGTTAACTTTCTTTCTTAATTCCAGCTTTTTTTTCTTTTCTTTTTTTTTTTTTTTTGAGTAGCAGGGATAAGTTGCCTCAGCTTATTTTTTTATCACAAAAACTAAGACTGGAATAAGTTTAATAAGACTCGAATAAGTTGGAATAGGATACTTCCAGGGTGTAGACTTAAGGCAGAGACTTAAAATAGGTTTTAAAATTTTTAAATATAAAGCCAGGCATGTTAATACACACCTATAATCCCAGCTATGCAGGAGTTTGAGGCAGGATGAGTCCAAGTTTGAGGCCAGCCTGGGCAATTTAGTGAGATCCTGTCTCAAAATAAAATAAGAAGGGTAGAGTGATGTAGCTCAGTGGTAGAGCACTTGCCTAGCATGCATGAGGCCCTGAGTTTAACCTCAGTTACTGGAAGAATAAAAATTAAAACAGGGTGGGTTTTATTATTGTAGAACCAACAGAGCTAGGCCTTGTAAAACCTTTACTGAAAGTAAAGATCTTAGTGTATAGAGTTGCTGTCTAATAGTTAAGTGGGACTGAGGGTGTGGCTCAGTGGTAGAGGGCTTGTTTAGCATTTGGCCTTYGGTTTCATCCCTGGCACAGCCAACAAACGGTAATGTGATTCTGGTCAAAGAAAATCTGTTCTATCTCAGGAGAATATATGAAAGATGGCTACTGAGAGAGTCTTAAAATTAGCAAAGAATGTTACTTGCTGCAATAGATGTTTAATAGACGGGAAAATTCATAAAAACAAAGTAAAAGAAGAAAGGTGTGCCTGCCACCATACTACACTCAAACTCTTTCCTTACCAATTAAAGGCTATCACCTTAGACTTCAAATTGTTCTAGAAAAATGTTGTATGCCTTTACATTATTTTACTAGGAATTTTGTTAGAATAGGTCTCTGTTAACTCATCTTTACTGGAATTCTTATACATGAAAGGTAAGTAGGTCAATCCACTATCCACCATTATGAAAAGACAATGTGAACTTTGCTTAAATAATTCAGAATTCTTAGGAGACTCATAAATCAACACCATTTCTTCATGAAAGAAATCTGTACACATTCTAAAGTAAATGCAGTTGCGTTTATTATTCTTAGTAGTGACTTAGCTTATGTTCTCCCAGGGTAACTGTTGCAAAACCATTTAAAATATTGTTTCATGTAAATATGGCTCTTTAATCACTATTTGCCTCTGCCTGAGCAAAATAGTGAAGCCTTATCTCAAAATAATGATGATGATGATAATAATAATACAAAAACATTTACATGGTTTATTTGAATTAGCTCATATGTACAAGTTTAGAATTAAAAATATAGCATCAAGAAAAAATTTAATTTTCTCAGATAAAATTTTTAAAAATATTTTTAGTTGTAGATGGACACAGTATCTTATTTTATTTACTTATTTTTTTATGCTGTGCTGAGAATTGAACCTAGAGTCTCACATGTCCTAGGCAAGCACTCCACTAATGAGCCCTAACCCCAACCCCTCAGATGAAATTTTAATTTGGACAAATTCTACTTCCTCCTTTGTTCATGGACTTTTTTCTTTTTTTCCAGTTTTCTAACCTATGTATTTATTGTACTGGGGGTTRAATCCAAGGATCCTTTACCACTGAGCTATATCCCCACCCCTTTTTATTTTTGAGGACAAGGTCTCACTAAGTTGCTTAGGGCCTAAGTTACTAAGTCTGGTCTGAACTTGTGATCCTCTTGCCTCAGCCTCTTAAGAGTCACTTGGATCACAGGTGTGCACTATCTCACCTGGCTCTGCTCTTTTTAAATTCACCTTTCTTGTTATATTTATTGATTATATAGGACTTAAAATGTTACTTTTTTTTTTTTTTTTTTTTTTAGTGAGAGAGGAGAGAGAGAGAGAGAGAGAATTTTTAATATTTATTTTCTAGTTCTCGGCGGACACAACATCTTTGTTGGTATGTGGTGCTGAGGATCGAACCCAGGCTGCACGCATGCCAGGCGAGTGCGCTACCGCTGAGCCACATCCCCAGCCCTAAAATGTTACTTTTTCAGTTAAAAATTTTTACCAAGATTGTTGAATTTTCATCCCATAAGTAATATTCTCCATGCTTTTAATGATATTAATAGCTGTTAGGGAAAAGTGCTCAATGGCAGCAGAAGTAGCAGATTTCCAAGCAATTTTGTGTTCCAGAATTTTTTTAAATGTATTGCCTTAGACTAGCTGATATATTATCTTATCTGTATATCCAGGGAATATGGCACATTGAGARGAAGGGGAAGCATTCTTGGGTTAATACTGATTTGAAACTAAATATTATCACCATATAAGAATGTATATAAAGATGTTTGTATGATCAGCTAAAACTAACTTAGAAGGAATATACTGAGTAAATTGATGTTACCCTTCCCCTCTAAAATTTAAAAAATCTTAAAAATCTTATTAAAATATAAGGTCATCATGTCGAACATTCAACGAGTAAGTGTTGAGTGACCTGCTTGCTTATGGGGTATAACTCACATTATGGGTTAATTATGGGATATAACCCACATTAGACTTTAGCCAAAAAAAAAAAAAGTTTAGGTAGTTCCCAGAGCAATTGGGATAATAGCAACCTAACCTTTGTCTACCAGTATTGTGAGCTGATAGCATACTAGCAGGCTTGAATTAATTTGTAATGGAAATTGACATAGAATTTAATTGATTATGCACTCTAAAACTGTTCAATTTTAATTCAATTTAAATTATTTTATGAAAATGTTATTGTTTATTTTAAGTAATATTTTTAAGGATTAGTTAAAAGAGAAAAAAATAAGTGTGCATATAGACATTTACTTCTGCTTGAGTCTCTATCAATATCATGGACCACTGTGGATTCCTCATTGTTTTCAACAAAAATGTATATGGTCATAGTTATAAATCTTTTTGCCTCTGTTGCATGTGTCACTCCAGGAAAGCATTAAGAAAGCCTAGGTCCCCTGAGTAAAATGAATAGGAAATGCAAAGGTATTTTATTTTCATTGGTCACTAATAACTTTTAATAATGATTAGTCAGATATGCAGGGTTTGTTTTGAAATACTCCAAGGGAGGCGGGAAGGCAGAGGAAATGAATGACAAAAAGTTCTCTTTACTCTTAATTTGCTGGAAATTTTTCACTGAAAGTTTTTTAAAAATGCTAAAATAGAACTTGTCCAAATTCAGTTAATTTTATCTTATTTTTTTCTGCTATTTATCTTGATTTATGTTTACTGAAAACAGATTATTCTATCCTTGAATATTTTGAAACCTAAGAAGTTTTCTACTCAAATCTTTGAATACAGATAGGCACACACAAAGCCTGTTTCCAGGATCCTGAAGCATTGGTAAATCTTGTTTATTATCAAACAAGAGATAATAATTTGAATGGGAATGTCCTTTGCCATTTGATAATGCCAAAATTAAGGGTCCCTTCAGTATAAAAAATGAAACTAGGTTCAAAGCATGAGACTTATCAGTAGAAATATTTTTCCCTTGGAGCCCACWTGACGGGGAAGGGAGGGAATGGTGGTATTTGTTTTCCATATCTAATTATATGTTGACTTCATCAGAAAATAACATGGCAAGAGAAACAGATCCTTGGTGTGTGTGTGTGTTCATAGTATGAAAACAAAGTAGTATGGGTTGGAACTTTAGGGGAAAAATTATTGGGAAAAGGAGGAAATAAAAAACAAGAGAAAAGGTAGATTTTTGTTATGTATTCCATGATTCTAAGTACTATTCCAAAAGCTTCATAATTGTATTGGTGTTGAAAATTAATTCTGTAATAGGAATTAGAAATCATGTCTCATTTAACTCTTTTGAAGTCACAACTTTATAATATAGTATGTTGTGAGAAAATGGTAGCCATTCATTTCATTTATTGAGCTCCTGCTCTGTATTAGGCTTTGTGCTTTTACACATTATGGTTCTAATGCCTTTGGCTCTTCCCTTTAAAGCATTATTTCTATAGCATCAAACTAATTATCAGCTGAAAACACGCATTCAAATATAAAATTTATGTCTAGCCATGAAGACCTAAGAGAGCAATATCCCTTGCTTTTTTATATTTCTCTTTTAAAAAAAGTTAGGTCTCTTCCAAACCCCTTAAATATGAAGGCCAAATCCTTGGAATCTTTGGAGAGTTATAGTTTGAAAATATTCTATTTTTATTTTTGTATTATTTTGGTACTAGGGGTTGAACCCAGAGTACTTTACGGTGAGCCACATTCCCAGCCCCTCTCACTTGTTCCCCACCTTTGCATGAACCCCCCCACCCCCGCTTTTTTTTTTTTATATTGAGAGTTGAACCAGGGTCTACTGAATTGTTTCGGACCTTGCTAAGATTCAGAGACTGGCCTTGAAATTCTGATCCTGCTGTCTTATTCTTTTTTATGTTTGTTTTGAGACAATGTTTGGCTAAGTTGCCCAGATTGGCTTAAGCTTTTGATCCTCCTGCCTCAGCTTCCCCGGTTGCTGGGATTACAGGGATATTCCACCATGTCCAGCTGAAGATATCCTATTTTTAAAATGTGTACAGAATATAATGTCCTAAAAAAGCCTGCTAAATTAATATTATCACAGGGTTTTTCAGCTTTAGTACTTCAGCATTTTGTAACTGATTCTTCAGTTTCTGTCAATCCTACTCTAATAGTAACCTGTCAGTGAATTAAAAAACAGCATGCATTTGTATTGAAAACTTTTTAAATGTGTTAACCCATTTTTCTGTAGTAGGTACTAGAATATTAGGTGAAAGAACTGAAAATTTGTTGTTGTTACTTTTACTCTTTCTGTAGTTCTAATAGGCTTATGTTATCAGATTATCACCTAAGTGGTCTTTGCTTAGATGTTATTAAAAATGTTTGAAAATGACTTGAATGTATTTGGAGTATGTTTTAAATACTATTATAATATTCCTGTAAGGCACTTACCTTTATCCATACATGTTGTTATTCTGATGATGGGCTTTTAAAATCTTCATTGTAAAGTAGTTAGCTAGTTTATGTATGATTTTTTTCCTTTTTTTAAAAAAAGGATAGCCATTGGTTCTGATTAATCTCTACTGTTTAAACTAAAACATGCAATCATAATCTTTATGTTAAAGTATAGCAGACCTCTTAGATATTTTAAATAGTACATTTTTGTCCACTAGAGAAATGTTAAAACATTTTAGCCATTTATTTATTTATTTTGGAGTGCTGAGGATGGAACACAGGGCCTCACATGCACTAGGCAAATGCCCTACCACTGAGCTACATCCCCAGCTCTAAAACAAAACATTTGATCAGTTATTCTTTTGAAACTTTTCACCAAAACCAGTAAAAGTAATTGGGGTGTAGCCCCATCCGGACCTGATTATTTTTCTCTTGAGAGTAGGCCCTTTCTATCCAAGATAGGATTGATCTTCAGTTATTAAAACAATAGATAAGGGCTGGGATTGTAGCTCAGTGGTAGAGCACTTACCTAGAGTCAGTATGTTAACTTTTAAGCATGACTAGCTAATCTCAGTATTTAGAGGAACCTTACCTCATTTTTATTGTATTCCAGACATTTAGTAGAGATAAATATTATAGCACAAATTCTTTCAATAGAGTTGACTGGTAAAGAACTTTTCAACTTAACATCTTACATTACAGGATTCTTCTGCCATAGTTAAAGTTATCGTTTACAGTTTTATAGTCGAGTTTTTTGATTCATGTTACTTTAAAAGACACTGACTTTTGACGATAAATGAGAAAAATAGCTGAATGAAGGTACGGAATCATTGTAATTGCAATGCTTAATGGAAATTCCACTGAGCATTTCTTAAGACTTAGAAGAATGTTATTTATAACTAAAAATATAGGAGAGAATGGAGAACACCAAGAAGCTGGGCATTCTCCCATCTATCTCGCCACTCTCTTAAATAATTTTAGTTGGATGGATCCCAGGGAGGATAAAAATTTTATGGGTCCCAGGAATTTCTAAAAGTTCAAAATATTAAATATACTCAGGTGTTTGTAAACTTTTAAAGTCTTGTCCCTGGCCTGGGGATGTAGCTCAGTGTTAAAACACTTGCCTAACATGTGCAAGGCCCTGGGTTCCATCTCCAACACCACAGAAATCAATCAGTCATTCAATATCATCTCCCATAATGAAGCTGATGTTCCTTATCAATTCAGCATATAAAAATAAGGGTAATTTGAGAATGAGAAGTAATGGTAATACATAGACCCAGAGTATATCTCCCAACATGGGGTTATTAAAAATTAATCCTGAAATTCTCTAATATTTCTTTTCTTTTTCTATTAAGTTGCTATAGCCCAAGGTGGAACAATCCAGATTTCTAATCCAGGATCTGATGGTGTTCAGGGACTACAGGCATTAACAATGACAAATTCAGGAGCTCCTCCACCAGGTGCTACAATTGTACAGTATGCAGCACAATCAGCTGATGGCACACAGCAGTTCTTTGTCCCAGGCAGCCAGGTTGTTGTTCAAGGTATATTTTATTAATCTAATACATTTAGAATACCTATGGATTATTGATATCACACCCTTTAGTGGTGATTTTAGAGTTTGATGAAATATACAGGAGATAGAGTTTGGGGGTGGGGTGGGAAACAAAAAAGCTTGAAGAAGAAATATTTTAATACATTAAAGAAGTGAAAGAAATTATCTGACTTTCACTCTTTAGCAGTTTTTACTGGTTCTAAAGAAAGGCTAAATTCAGAGCAACATGATAGACAAAGGGAGTTGGAAACATTAATGAATTTTTAATTAGGTTAATAGCCTTCTTTTGGAAGTCACAAATGCTGTACCTCCTATATTTCTCATACCTGTTTTATGAAGAGTTAAGTATATAGTCCACAATGCCCTGAATTTGGGTCTTTCCTCAGCTATTACATTCAAGTCTAATTTCTAAACAATTCATTTCAAAACAAATGCAGTGTGTGTGTGTGTGTGTGTGTGTGTGTGTGTGTGTGTGTATTAGTCTGTTATCATATTTGAATTTTTCTGTACCCATTCTAGCTCTTCTGAAAGCTGACAGTAGTGAAATAAAAGTTGGGGTGTAACCCTGAACTTTTAGGATTACCTAAGATTTAAATTAAATTTTAATTAAATATTATTTGAACTTCATTTGTGCTTATGATAACTGTAATATGTGTATTTAATACAGTTTTTAAAAATTCTGTGTTTTAATTTAATTATTTTCCTTGGGTTCATTTGCTTAGGTTGCATAGCAGTAATTTTAAGACAAGTGATACCAGTTCTTTTAGTTTGAAAGTCTCGCAAGTATGGGGAAAAAACAGGTTATAATTAATATAGATTGTAATAAAAGTATGTGAAGAACTGAAATAGTAAATTAAAACAACCTTATATTTTTCCCTTACTCATGAACCTTATGTATCTAAATGAATAATCTTATTTATTTATTTTTAAAAATTGTAGTTGGACACAATACCTCTATTTTATTTATTTATTTTTATGTGGTGCTGAGGATCAAACCCAGTGTCTCACACATACTAGGCAAGTACTCTACCGCTGAGCCACAACCCCAACCCCTAAATGAATAATCTTGAAGAATAGTCATTTTTCTCATCATCTTTTTACATGGAAAGATCTGAAAATTTGAACTGTAAATAGAGATTGTTTTTATAATTTTTGTTTTATATAATATACATGTAAGTCTTGTGTTTGGGGAGTTTTATGTAAGAACTTATCTATTTATTTATTTTTATGATTTGGGGTACCAGGAATTGCAGGGGTGCTCAACCATTGTGCGACATCCCTAGTCTTTTTTTTTTTTTTTTTAAAGGACAGGGTGTCACTAAGTTGCTTAGGACCTCTCTAAATTGCTAAGGCTGCAGAATCACATCGGTTACACATCCACATTTTTACATAATACCATATTAAAAGTTCATAACCCACTTGAATCAAATGTATGGAAGATGATATGTCTAGAGCTTTTTAATGTTTTGAACAACCAATAAAAAAAAAATTGCTAAGGCTGGCATTGAACTTGCCATCYTCCTGCCTCAGCTTCCCAAACCAGAATTCTTTTTCTTCTACAAGTCACAGAATTATTTTTCTACATTATCTTCCATGAACTTTTATAGTTTTATATTCTTAATCCATCTAGGWCCCACTTCTGTGTATAATTAGCTGGAAATCCGTTTTTAATGTTTTCTCCCTATACTGTATCCCGAATCATTGGTTTGTTCTTTCCTCATTAATTTATGGGGCAACCTTAATTATACAATAGTTTCTTATGTAATTTTGGATCTGTCTCACAACTCTGTTCTGTACAATTTATCTTTTTCTTTATGCTAGTACTATACTTTCTGTCTTCCAGAACAAGTTCTTCATCTTTCTTTTTTCTTTTTTTTCATGCTGATTTAGCTATTTGAAACATGACTCTTTCATATGTTTAGAATAACTGAGTTTTTAAGTAATAATAATAATAAAAAAACAGTGATAAGACAGCATTTAATTTATAGATTAAGTTGGGGAAAGATGAAGTTTTTATAATGTTGTTAAAATGATAAATCTCAAACTACAGGTTTTTCACTTAGTAAGATTTTGTTTTAAACAGTTTAAAATTTTTCTCCATGGCGGTCTTACTCAACTGGTTCCTGAATGCTTTGTGGTAGTTTTTGCTATCATGAATTGTACCTTATTTTTTGATCACATTTTCTATTTGTTGCTGGTATAAATAGATATTGATTTTTTAATAGTTGATCTTTTATCTACTAACCTAGATAAATTCTAATTACTTTAAATAACACTGATTCTTTGTGAATCCATTTGTCAAACTTTGTAAATATTTACACCATATATAAATAAGGTTTCTTCTTGTCAAATTTTTTTACTTTTTTTAATCTTTTTTTTTTCTCTTTTTCCTCTCTCCTTCTCTTCTCCCTCTTTCTCCTCCTCCTTTTTTTAATATTAGTGTCTAGGAGTTTCAGTTCTGTGTTAAACATAGTCAGTCAGTGGGCATTCTTATCCTGAAATTAAAGACAATATTCCCTATCTATCTTTTACTCTAATATCTCACTGAAAGGCAATATCAATTTCATTTTGAATTCTTAGTTTTTATCTTGATTGATTCTTCTGCAGTACTTAATACTGTTGACCTCTGCTTCCTTCACTTTCTTAAACTGCATTCTCATTCTCATTCTCTCCCTTTTCTGCCTTAATTTCAGTCTCTTTTGTTGGGCTAATCTTCCTCTGCCAGTCTCCTTAGTGTAGTGGTATGCCCTAGGATTGTATCCAGGGCCCTCTTCCCATTAGATTTGAGCATTTTTCCTGGATGATCCATTCACTGTGATGATGCCTCTTACTCCAACTGGCTAGTTAGATGTCCACACTCATCTYTGATTCCTTAAGACCAGACTTGACTTTCATTTTTCCCTACCACAAATCTCCTTTTGTTTTCTGTATTTAAGTAATACACTACTTGTCCTTTGCTTTAAGCCCAAAACCTGGCTTACTCTTCCTGCACCTCTCCTCCCAAAGCCACTTTGTGTATTCCTCCCCTTAACTAAGTCACACATGTTTTCTACTCCTCCACACCCCATCCTAGTTCAGACTGCCACACCTGTGATTGGTGTCTACATCAGTTGTCTGCCCTGAAGCTGGTAGTTTTATTGTTTTGTGTTACTTGGAATTGAACCCAGAGCCACTTTATCACTGAGCCACATTCCTAGTCCTTTTGATTTTGAGACAAGTTTTCACTGATTTGCTTAGGGCCTCACTAAACTTCTGAGGGTGGACTCAAACTTGTGAATTTCCTGCCTCAGTCTCACTAGGACTACAGGCATGTACACCATGCCTGGCTTCTGAAGCTGGTAGTTGTAAAAGAGCTTTCAGATTTTTCTCATTATACCAGAGGCAACTTCTTCCTTCTTGCCTTAGTTTTCTTTATTTTTTTGACGGGCGGAGGGTGTAGGGGTCAGGGAATTATTTCTAAAATCTCAGCTAGACTCTTTTCATTGCCTTCCAATGATTCTAGAATCTACTAGTCTCTCTCCTTTTAAAAAAATATTTTTAGTTACAAGTGGACAAAATAACTTTATTTACTTTTTATGTGATGCTGAGGATGGAATGTAGTACCTCACATGTGCTAGGCAAGTGCTATACCACTGAGACATAACCCCAGCCCAATCTCTCTTTAAAAAAAAATTATTGGGGAGGTACTAATATTTATTATAAACAAGTCTGTATCTCCAACTTTTTTTTCTTGTATATTATGCTCTCTATGCTGCAGTTTAGAGTAGTCTTCCTAAAATTTACATCTAAACACGCATCCTAATCCATTTGAGCTGTTATAACAAAATAACCAGAGACTACGTAGCTTTCACGATACATTTTTTTTTTTTTTAACATTTCTGGAGGCTGGGAAGTCCAAGATCAAAATACTAGCAGAATCAGAATCAGTGTCTGCCCAGGGCTCACTTCCAGGCTCAGAGATGGCCATCTTCTTGTGTTTCTTCAAGTAGCAAAAGAAGTGAAGGAGCTCACTGGGGTCTGTGTTGAAGGGCACTGATTCCATTCATGAGGACTCTACCCTAAAAACCTAACCACCTAAAGGTCCCAACACATTTGTACTGGGGCTTAGGATTTCAACATAGAAATTTGGGGTGGGTGACATAAACATTCACTCTATAATGTCATATCAACCTCTATTTAGAACCCTTAATTGAATCCCTATTATTTGCAAGATAGAGCTCAAAAAAATCTTTTATGTGGCCCAAATCTTGGTTTGATCTTGGCCTTGTCCCTTTACTGGCCTCTTACCTCTCTCCTTCTCCCTCTTTTGAATGCAGCTCTATTTCTTTCATTTTCTCTGATAGGCCATGCCCTTTCTCCTGTCTAGGGCTGTCATACTTACCTTTTGTTTTTTTAAGAACACTTTCCTCAATTGTATGCATTATTCAGATTTCATCTTAGATGACCCTTCCTCCAGGAAGACTTCTCCGATTCTCCATATCTGGCTTAGACAACCCCTGGGTCCCCACTGCACCTTATTAGGCATTGTATCACACTTGTTGTGACTTTCTATATCCTGCCTATATGGTAAGTCTGTTTGGACAAGGATCCTTAGTACCCAACAGAGTCCCTGGCATATGATAAATGTTAAACATTTACTGAATGAAAGCGAAATAGTCTTCCTCCTTAAAAATGTTATTAATTCCATATGCTGATTGAATGAGTTTAACTAGTATAGGGAAATATATTAAAACTTTACTAATTGCAGTKAATTAACTAAGCAACCAATTTCCCTCCTTCCTTGCCTTCCTTTCCTCTTCTTTTCCACTAATATTTCCTGAGCATTTTTGTGCCAGTTTAAAGAGACATTTGGCTAAAAATCAAATTGAACCTTTTTATTTTTTAAAATATTTTCTTGGTTGTCAGTGGACTTTATTTATTTATATGCAATGCTGAGAATTGAACCCAGTGCCTTACACATGCTAGGCAAGTGCTCTACCACTGAACCAC